GCCGCGCGCGCGGGAGGAAATGAGCGCGCGCGAGTTGCGGGTAGGAAGGGATGATCTATACATATCCACTGCTTCCCGGCCAGGCCTATCCTGAACCCAGGAGCTGTGCATGCGCCCTCCTGGCCAAGCCATCAAGGCGTGGCGTGCGCACCCCTGCTGGGCTCAGGTTGGGCCTGGCTAGGGGGCAGTGGATATGCATAGACTTCGCCGCCCGAAGTCAGGGCTCCTCTCGATGCTTCCGATGCGGTTCGAGTCGACATCGATCGATGGCTCTTCCGATTCCGCCTCGATCCGACTCTGGATTCCGCTTTGGATTCCGATTTCTCGATGGAGGCCTCATTGGCCTGCCCTTGCCCGCCGATCCGGCTTCTCCCCGACTTGGCTGTCGACCGCCTATCCGATTCACTTCGATAGGGGGCTACATGCGAACCCTACCCCTAACCCCCACGATTTCTGAGGGGGAGGGTGGGGTTCACTTCGATAGCCGGTCCAACCTATGGATTCGGTGCTGGTCTCTCCTGGACGCCAGCTGAGGCACGGGTGCGTGCGTGATCTGGGGCACCCGCCAGGTCGCGAAGACCTCATCGCGCTTCGCGCGGCGAGAGGCTCGAAGCATCATGGGACCTGGGCGGTGGCCAGAAGACGGTGGATTGTCATTCGTCGGGAGCCTTGGGGCGAGGGCCAATGCAAACGAGGTTCAGCCAGAGCGCCAGATCTTGCAGAATCCTTCAGACACAGGGGTGCACTGACCCGGGCTTGGGTGCAGGATCCTGCAGGATCTTGGAGGATCGTGCCAAGCCTGACGCAGGGCTGGACCTAAACGCTGTTGTGCTGGACTTCGGCTGTGCTTTGTATTTCGTTTTGGGAGGGAGGTACAGGAAAACAGGCAGAGCAGAACTAAACACAAAACGAAAACACATCGAAAAACAACGTTTAGGTCCAGCCCTGGCTTGACACCTGCGGCGATGCGGCTCGATATGGGGCCCAATTTTCTCCACGCTGACGTGGCCGATGCACCGCCGACGTCGCCAGTGCATCGCCGATGCGTCGCCGATGCATCGCCGATGCATCGGCTGGTGCGTCGCCGATGCGTCGCCGACGTGCCGGCGATGCGGCGAGATCCTCCGACCCAATCTACTCGGACCCCATCCGCGCTCGCTCGCTCGCTCAGCCATGCATCCGGAGGGACGCGTCGGCAGACTCAAGGTTGCGTCCTTGGCAACCGAGTGGAAGAGAGAAGCTGCGCGTCGGCAACGGCAGCTGGCGCGCCAAGCGCGCTGGAGAAGCTCGCAGCGGAGCGCCTAACGCGCCGGGATTTGGACCCCATCCAAGTTTGGAGGAGGAGGAGGAGGAGGAGGAGGAGGAGGAGAAGGAGGAGGAGGAGGAGGAGTAGGAGGAGGAGGAGGAGGAGGAGGAGGAGGAGGAGGAGGAGGAAGGAGGAGGTCTGGGCGCTGGCCTGGGTCAGGGCGTCCCCGAGTTCGGCCCCGGCTCCCGCCTCGGGGGCGGGCCGTTCGCGCCAGCCTTCGGGGTGCCTGGAGCCGAGAGCCTCGCCGCCTCGCGTGCGCGCCCGCCGGCCTTTGCACCGCGGGCCCCTCCGCCTCCTCCTCCTCCTCCTCCTCCTCCTCCTCCTCCTCCTCCTCCTCCTCCTCCTCCCGCGTGCACCTCTCAACGGCACCGTAACGGGTACTTACTAACGGGTACTTTGAATTTTTGCCGAAAGTTGCCACTTTAGGGCCTTTTTCTTGCATTGCAGCTCTGCCCACATCGGGAAGGGTTGGGTTCGCTGGGTCACTGGCCAAAGTACCCGTTTGTGGAGTCCCCGTTTGAGGGGCGCTGACCCTCCTAGTCCTCGGCGTCCTGTCTCTCCTATCCCATCGAGCCTCCCAGTGATTCAAGTGGCGTGCGCGTGTCCATCATCATCATCGTCATCATCATCATCATCATCATCATCATCATCATCATCATCATCATCATCATCATCATCATCATCATCATCATCATCATCATCATCATCGTCATCATCATCATCATCATCATCATCATCATCATCATCATCATCATCATCAATGATGATCATCATCACCATCATGATCATCATCATCATCATCTCCATCATCAGCATCATCATCAGCATCAGCATCAGCATCAGCATCAGCAGCAGCATCAGCATCACCATCATCATCACCACCATCAACAACATCATCATCATCATCATCATCACCTCGTCCTCGGCGTCCTTTCTCTCCTATTCCATAGATCATAGCGCCAACATCGCAGAGTGGATGTCGTTCGGAAAACAAAAAGGATGGGCCCGGAGTGTCCTGGAGAATGTCGTTCCAGATTTCGAAGGGAATTACGTGCGTTTTTTGGGCCAGGAATGAAAACTGCAAAAAATCCGCGTGAAATTCGCTTCGTTTTCCGCTCGCCGTTTTGGGGTTTAGCATTGACAGAAATCCACGCACAAATCCGTTGCAGCACGTCTGCAAGGTCGGTGCAGTGACATATAGCCTCCCAGTGATCCAAGTGGCGTGCGCCATTCCAACAGCCCCCACAAGGAGTGAGTGTTCGAGACGATCGTGGAAGTTAGATCTTGGGTCAGGAGCCTCCTGGATGAATCTGAGAGTCTCTTGGGATGGCTCTCTGGGGCCTGTTGGAGAACTCTTGGGGGCATGTGGGAGGCTTTCCTACCCCATAGATCCTCCCAGTGATCGCCGTTGAAGCCCCTAGAGCTTGCTGGAGCACGCGAGAGAAGCTCACGCTTCCAGGCCTGCCTCCTCTTGCGCCTAGCTCCTCCTCTTCCCCCCCCGATCTGTCCCACAGCGCGACCCAGCCAGGACTTCGAGGCGAATCCAGCCGTGGCGACGAGGGCTGGCCAGGGAGCCCAAGGAAAGCCAAGAGCATCAAAATCTTCGTCCACCTCGTCGTCGTCGTCGTCGTCGTCGTTCTCCTCCTCCTCCTCCTCCTCCTCCTCTCCTCCTCCTCCTCCTCCTCCTCCTCCTCCTCCTCCTCCTCCTCCTCCTCACCTCCTCGCTTCCTCTTGGCGGCGCACAAGAGGGGGCTCTGGGGCGAAGGATCCGCCGTGCGGCCCTCTCCGGGGGCGGGGAGCTTCGCGGAGGGGCCCAGGGGCTTCTCGGAAGCCCTCGGAGGACTCCGCGGGGGAGGAGGAGGAGGAGGAGGAGGAGGAGGAGGAGGAGGCTGGATTCGCCTCGACAGCATGGTCGGAGTGCTCGCCAGGAGAGGTTCGGGGCCTACTTTGAGTACTTTGAGGGAGTGGGAGGCGAAGGAGGGGAGAAGGAGGCGGAGGAGGAGGAGGAGGAGGGTCAGAGGAAGAGGATAAGAGGAGGATGCGCAGCAGGAGGAGGAGGGTAGGAGGAGGAGGAGGTGGAGGAGGATGAGGAGGACGAGGAGGAGGAGGAGGAGTTGGAGGAGGGGGGAAGAGGACTAGGAAGGGATGACGATGATGATGATGATGATGATGATGATGATGATGATGATGATGATGATGATGATGATGATGATGATGATGATGATGATGATGATGATGCTGATGTTGATGATGCTGATGCTGCTGATGATGATGATGGTGGTGGTGGTGTTGGTGGTGATGCAGATGATGATGCTGCTGATGATGATGATTATGATGATAATGGTGATAGCGATGATGGTGATGATGCTGACGACGTTGTAGCTGTTGTTGATGCTGATGCCGATGATAGTGCTACTGCTGATGCTGATTGCGATGATGATGCTGATGGTGATGATGATGCTGATGCTGATGCTGATGCTGATGCTGATGATGATGCTGCTGCTGATGATGGTGATGATGGTGATGATGCTGATGATTCTCAAGATGACGACCACAATGGCTCACGATGATGCTTTTGCGTTATGGATAGAGATGTTGATGCTGATGCTGATGATGATGACGATGATGATGCTGATGATAACTATGATGATGCTGATGATGATGATGAACATGATAATGCTGATACTGATGTCGATGATGCTGGTGCTGATGCTAATGCTGCTGCCGATGCCGATGATGATGGTGATACTCGTGATACTGCTGCTGATGTTGATGGGATGATGGTGATGATGATGGTGACGATGATGCTGATGATGATGCTGACGATAAGTATGATGATGCTGCTGATGATGATGACGAATACGATGATGCTGATGGTGATGATGCTGATGATGCTGCTAATAATGATGATGACGATGATGATGATGGTGATGCTGATGCTGATGATGGTGATGATGATGATGATGATGATGACGATGCTGATGACGATGACGATGATGATGATGACACTGATGATGGTTATGATTATGATGATGATGCTGCTGATGATGATTATGATGCTGATGGTGATAATGATGATGATGCTGCTGATGATGTTGATGATGGTGGTGATGCTGATGATGCTGCTTTCGATGACGATGACGATGACGATGATGATGATGACGACGACAATGATGATGATGATGATGATGATGATGATGATGATGATGATGATGATGATGATGATGGTGCTGATGCTGATGATGATGCTAATGCTGAGGCTGATGCTGATGCTGCTGCTGATGCTGCTGCTGATGATGGCGTTGGTGTTGGTGTTGTTGTTGTTGGTGGTGGTGGTGAGCAGGAGCAGGAGGAGGAGGAGGAGGAGGAGGAGGAGGAGGAGGAGGAGGGGGAGGAGGAGGAGGAGGAGGGGGAGGGGGAGGTGGAGGGGAAGGAGGAGGAGAAGGAGGAGGAGGACGGTGTTGCTAGTGGTGGAGGCGGCGGTGGTGATGATGCTGCTGATCATGATGATGAGAATGGTGATGGTGATGGTGATGACCATGGCGATGATGATGACGACAATGATGATAATGTTGAGGATGATTAGGATGATGATGCTGCTGATGATGATGATGATGATGACGGTGATGATGATGATGCTGATGCTGATGCTGATGATGGCGATGCTGATGCTAATGATAAGTATGATGATTCTGATGGGAATGCTGAGGATTATGATTACACTGATACTGCTTACGATGATGACGACGACGATCATGATGCTGACGATGCTGCTTAGGACGCTTCCGATGATGGCGATGATCGTGATATTGCTGCTGCTTTTGATGAGATGATGGTGATGATGATGGTGGTGATGATGATGCTGGTGATGATGCTGATGATAAGTATGATGATGCTGACGATGATGATGATAATGATGCTGCTGCTGATGATGCTGATGATGATGCTGATGATGATGCTCCCGCTCTCCCGAGGAGGGCTGATGATGACGATGACGCTGACGATGACCTTGACGATGACGATGACGATGATGACGATGATGACGATGATGATGATGATGATGATGATGATGATGATCATGATGATAAGGATGATGATGATGATGACGATGACGATGACGATGACGATGACGATGACGATGACGATGACGATGACGATGATGATGATGATGATGATGATGATGATGAAGTTGATGATGATGATGATGATGATGATGATGATGATGATGATGATGATGATGATGCTGCTGATGATGATGATGATGATGATATGATGATTATGATGATGATGATGATGATGATGATGATGATGATGATGATGATGATGCTGATGATGATGATGATGATGATGATGATGATGATGATGATGATGATGATGATGATGATGATGATGATGATGATGATGACGTCCACCGAGTGTGGAGTGTTGCCACTCGCTCTTACCACAGGCCCGCCCCATATCCGATGATGGTGCCTGCAGCGTAAGTTCTTCTGCGAGATCTCTGCTACCTGCCAGGAGGAGGAGGAGGAGGAGGAGGAGGAGGAGGAGGAGGAGGTCGTTCGGCTGGTTCGAGAGCCAGCTCTCTGCCGAGGGTTGTGTCTCAGGCCGACGCGCTCCGCTCTCCACGACGCCTGCTGATTCTCTGAGTCGCCACCCTCCCTGGCGGCTGGGAGCCTGTGCGAGGCACCACGGACCACTCGCGGCTTCGGCGGTGTGCGCCACGTCTTGGATGGGCACGCGCAGGGTGGCGCCGTTCTGATCCTGGCCCTCTTCCGCCCCACCCGCCCGCCCATCCCCGATTCCAGGCGTGATCAGCATGCTCGACCTGCTGGTTGGCGACCTCGACAAGGAGCGGGCGCGCGCGTCGCACGCCTTCCGGCAGCTCGGTCTTGGAGTCAGGGAGCAGCGTGCGCCCTCACTGGAGCAGGCTGAGCTCCACCTCCCTCCTCCCCTCCATCGATTGCTTCTTGCTTCGCTTCGACGCGTCCCGTCCCCTCAGTTGCGGGGGTCCACTCGTGCTGTGCTGAACTAGTCCCATTTGGTGCCCGCGCAGAGTTGTTACCTCACTCATATCCTGCGAGTTGCGTGCCAGCCTCTGCCGACAGGCGCCCTGCTTCATCAGCGTCGAAATCTCCAGAGTCCCTCCATCCCTCTGCGCTCCTCCCTCCTCCCTCCTGCTGCCCTCGCCCCTCCGCTCCCTGCCTCGTGCTCCCTCCCTCCTCCCTCCCTCCTCACTCCCTCTGCTGCCCTCCCCCCTCCCCCTCCTGCCCCTGTGCTCCCTCCCTCCCTCCCTCCCAGAGGGCCCAGAGCCGGGGCCCCTCCGAGAGTGGCGAGCCACCGTGCCGACCCCCTGGCGCGCGACGCCGGGGAGTGCTCCGTGCCACGAGCGCCAGGTCTTCTGGGCGCATCGCATCGCCCGTCCTCGGAGGGGTGAGAATTCGGCGGCGGGCGAGGGGGGAGGCGAGAGGGGGGAGGCCTTCTCAGAAGGCGAGCGAGGGGGGGGGGGGCGAGGAGGGAGGAGACCTTCTCAGAAGGCGGCGGGGCTTCTCAGGAGCCCCTGGGGCCTTTGAAAGGCTTTCTGTTTGTCTTCGGGGAAGGCTTAGAGCACTTCTCAGAAGGCTGGAGCACCCGCCCCCTCTCGCTTCTCCCCAGGCGCGCCGCCGGAAAAAGTGTTGGTCGCCTCGGCTCGCTCGGTTGGTGCGTCATTGGCCCGTCTACCTTTTGTTTGTATACCCTGTCGCGGTCAAAGTTTGGCCCACTTTCGCCACTGCGGCGCTCTTGGCCACGATGCGATGGAATGTCGCCAGATGGAGACGAACACCAGGGCATCCCGTGTGGAAGCCACAGTGTGATCTCAACGGGGGCAGCAACATACACTCATCACCTACTTGGGCACAGCAGCGCCTGAGCACCACCGTGACTGTGAGCGCCCAGGCGCCTGTGGGCACTTCAGCGCCTGTGAGCAAGAAGTCGCATGAACACCCCAACGCCCATGTGAGGCTTGGGATTTCCTCTCTGTCTTCTGGATTGAGACTTTTGTCTGGCTCATACGGTTTTGCTTCCCAGTTTATACTCCCTGCGCGCTCCAGGACTTTTGTGCCATCCTGAAAAGGCAGAAGGAAGCAAGAGCGAGAAGTCCCAGCCAGTCTCGCCGTTGTCGCCGCCGCCGTCCCCGCGGGTGTCGCTATTACTTTCGGCGTGTTGCCTTGCAGTGTATTTGGCTCTCGAAGGGCACATCAACATCCTGACGGGACACCTCGCTCTTGTATCATTGGATGACATCGTTTTCGTTGTTGTCACGTGACGCAGACTGGGTCGGCATACACGCATGTTGCTTGAGCCAAACACTGCCTGAGCACCACCGTTACTGCGAGCGCCAGAACGCCTGTGGACACCGCATCACCAGTGAACATCAGCACCCATGAGCAGAACAGCAGACCACAACAGGATCAATCAACACTCCATCCATCCCCCATCCTTCCTCCCACCTCATCCCTCCAACTAAGATCCGTCCCCAGTCACTCGTACCATCCTGGCATCCCTTATCCTTCCACTCGTCCTCACTCCATGCATCTTTCCATCACTCCTGATCCTTCGTGTCCCCATCTCTCATCCATCTATCCCTGGATCCTTCTAGCCATCCATCCCTCCTCACTCCCTCCCTCCTGCACCCTCCCCGAATCCCTCCAGCCATCAACTTACCCCTCCTGCCCTCGGCGTCTGTCACCCTTCATTCCTCACTCTTTCATGTGTGATGATCGGGATATGCCTTCTCCCTCCCTCCGTTCCTCTTTCAACCATTCCTGCTTCATCATCCCTGCTCCCTCATCCCTCCATCCCCTGTTCCTCCTTCCTGCCGTCTTGAATCCCTCTGCCCGTCCGTCGTTCCTGACTGCTCCCTCCGTCGTCCATCTCCCGTCATCAATTCCTTCATTCATTTATCTCTCCTCGCACATCTCTCTTTCTTTCATCCGTCCGTCCTTCCATCCCCCCATCCTTCTATGCATCCTCCCTCGTCGTTCAGTCATCCTCGTCATCCTCCTCCTGCACCAATTCCTCCACATTATCATCCCCTTCCTCCACCGATTCTTCCTCGTCCTCCCTGGAAAGATCCGCGACGACATTTGCAGTTGAGTCCTGAACTGCATGCCTCGCATGGTGCGACACTGCCCTGATCACTACAATTCGCCAGGGGCCAACAACGCCTGAGCACCATTTGACTGTGAGCACCCAGGCGCCTGAACACCAGTACTGATAACCAGCTCAACGACGAAGAGCACCTCATGATCAGCTTAACCGAACGCCCCAAGGTGCCCCCGACAGGCCCCAATATAGCAGAAGAATGCCCCAGTGCACTCTCGAAGCGGTTCGGTCTGGAAGGGGGGCGGCGGGGGTGCAGCCTTCCACATCACTTCGTCCAAACATCCGGCACGATCGACCCGCGCCGCCCCGCGCGAAACGGCAAGATGTACAACGCTGCGCGTCAATGCAGCGAACATGTGTCCGCGCTCACAGTCGCACGTGCGAGGATAATGTATCATTCGAAACTGTCATGTCAATCTTCGCTCGCGCTGAACGCATCAAACTTTACAGGATGCCCCGTGCGAAACGCTAATGGTTTGCTTGTCTCGCATCGGATCCCCACCAGTCTTGACAAGATGTCTCGGCCGACTCGATTACCCCGAATTCGTTTGCAGACAAAGTCCAAATCATATGTTCGAGGCCGTCTCACGCAAAGCGTTCATGGTCTAGTGGTTCCGAACTGGGCGCGCAACAAAAACGAGAGGACGCCTCACGCAATTCGTTTGAGTCCATGTCGCGTTTTCGAATAAATCCCGCACGAAACGCTCACACATCAATTAGTTTGACCGAGTTCGAACCCGGTTCGAATCTGCTTTTCGGGGAAATCCCGTGGGAAACGCTAACTTTTCCATACGTTCGAACGAACCTGATTCCCGAGGAAGTTCCTCGCGAAACGCATATGTTTGTTTATTGTTTCGAGCCGAGTTCGAACCTGGTTCGACCCTGTTTTCCGAGGAAGTCCCGCGCGAAAAGCTTATTTTCTATTGTTTCGAACCGAGTTCGAACCTGGTTCGAACCTGCTTTTTCAGGAAGTCCCGCACGAAACGCTCACTTTTTTGTTTCGAGCGGACTTCTATTGCTTCGAACCGATTGCCGAACCCGATTCGAACTATTCTTGAAAAGAAGCTCCGAGCGGTTCGCCGTTTTCGAACCGCCGTGCAGTTTTAGCTGTGTGAGCAGTTGCTTGGGGTACAAGCCCGAGGTTGCCCGCCCCCTGCTGGCACAGCTCCCTCCTCCTCCTCCTCCTCCTCCTCCTCCTCCTCCTCCGCCGACCCACGCTTCGCAAGCGTGTCCACAATTGGGCGGCCTTTCACCGCGGCACGCTCTCGTCCCACGGGGGGCCACCCTCAGCAGAACGAAGACCACGCCCCGGGCAGGAAATCGGCAGACACAGCCCACGACCAGGCCCTTCGCCCCCCCCCAGGATTTTTGGCCACGGTATGCAAGGCTTTCGGGCGGACCCCTCTCGGCTGCTCTCGGGTCGTGTCGTCTTCGGTGGGCTTCGGTCTCGCTGTCGGCTTGGTCGCCGCCGTGCAGTGCTCTCGCCTGTGGCCCCCTTCCCGCGCCCCGGAGGAGATGACCGAGGCGGAGACTTCCGAGAAGGACGCGCAGGCCGCGAGAGGGCAGAGGGGAAGTGGGGAACCCGACCATCCAGCGGCTCGACCTTTTGCGACACGGAGTCCTGGACCTCTCGACCCCAAGGTTGCCGGAGGCAATCCTGGTCCGAGTCTGCGCCCCGCTTCTGCGCGCCATCTTCGAGCCCCTGGGGCCATCTGGGCCTCGTGATGTGTGGTCTGGCGGCCATCTGTGCCTACCTGGAAATGGTGAGGTCACCCTGGGCCAGAGTCAGCTCTGGCAACACCAGATCGACCTGAGGCCAAGTCGGTCGTTCACCCTCGCTCGTTTCTCGGCGCGCCCAGGGTAACCAGCCTCGAATGGCCTAAGATACCGAAAAACCTGGCCACCCCGATCTGTTCGAGCCGCGAGGCGTCGGTCAGGGCAGCGAGAGTAAATCTTTCCAGGGCGTTCTGGAGCACCCTCGGGGCGTTCTGGAGCGCTTTGTAGCGGCCGCCGCGGGCGCTCGACGTTTCTCGCAGATGGCCTTCGTCTTTGGGTTGGAGGGGGAGAGGGCGAGGGAACAGTGACCTGCTGTCGCCCGCTTGGGGGAGGAGGAGGAGGAGGAGGAGGAGGAGGAGGAGGAGGAGGAGGAGGAGGAGGAGGAGGAGGAGGAGGCGGAGGAGGAGGAGGAGGAGGAGGAGGAGGAGGAGGAGGAGGAAAGGGAGGAGACGGAGGAACGGTTTCCCTTCTTCTCTTGTTCTAGATTGTTGCTCCCTATTTTTTGTTGGCCTCTATCCCTCCTGTCCGTCATCTCGGTACTCTCCGTCCCTCCTTCCTGTCCTTCTCTTTCCCATGATGCAACCACCGCCGCCCCCCTGGCTATCGTTTTGTCCTTCACCTCCTCCCCTTCCTGGACCTACGATGGATTCCCGTTTCGTTCTCTATTCCTCCCCTTTCTGGACCTACGAGGGATTCCAGATTGAAGATCCCTGGATAAGGATTCCTTCTGAAGGATTCCTGGCCACGGATTATTCACTACGGATCCCTTGCTAAGGTGTCCCTTGCAGGACTCCTTAACAAGGGTTTCCGTCCAAGGTAACCTTGCCAAGGGTTCCCTGAGAAGGATTCCTTCATGCGGGTTCCTTGCTCAGGGCCCACTACTCAAAGTTTTTGTGATCAAGGAATCCCGAATAGGGATTCCCTAGTCAGACTTCGTCATCTAGAGGCTGCCGCCTCTGCCGCCGACCCCAAATTCAGCGACGTATGCTTTCCGAGCACGGCAGGATGAGTTCAGGCGAGACATCCAGGTCTGGGCGTCGGCCCTTCTCTGTTGCATCTAGGACCCCCTCTGTTGCGACGCGACAGAAAGGGGTCCACGGCGAACACGGTGCAAGACGCCGTGGACGAGATTTGTTGCGGGGAGGTTCTGGATGCAGACTTCCGGTGGGCATGCCCGAACGGGTGCGGCTGCCGGCAGACGAAGAAGGAATGTCTTCTCACGAGAAGTCCCCAGTGTTTGTGGGTGCAGATGAGCGCGCAGGCCTGAAGGTCTCGCATGTGATCGTGCCCAGTGAAGAGTTAGTTGCGAGCGGGCAGCGGCACGCGCATGTGAGCAGCGTGTTCCACCACGGCGAAGGGTTCCACACTTGCCGCCAGTACCGCGCGTTGCCGACTCGAGGGTGGCCGCGGAGCGCAATGGGAATTGCGGGATGACGGCGCCGTGTGGCCGAGCTCGCCGCCTTCGGACGTGGGTGCGTGGAAAACCGGTGCCGACTCGTCGGTGCCCGTGTTGATGTACATCCGCGTGGAAGCGCCGGCCGCGGCAGAAGGAACGCGCAGGCGAGCAGGGCGCGTCGGGGAAAGGGCCGCGGCGAGCGGGTGGCGGCCGGTGTCGTCATGGAAGGCATCAAAGTGAAGGGTGGCGGAGCGCCCGCGGCTCTCATCCTGCCAGGCGATCTTGGCCCCTCCCCGCGCACCTCGCGACGCTGATTTTTGCGCTCGGAGCATTTGGTGGGGCGAGCCGCCAGCGCCAGGCGTGCGATCTGGAAGGGGCGCGGTCCGCGCCGCCAGAGCTGGTCGGCAATATGTAGAGAGCGACGGGCGACTCTGCGGCTATCAAGCGGGTGCCCGCCGAGACATGGGTGCGGGCGTAGGCGGGGTGGGGGTGCGCTTGGGACGACCTGCTCGAAGTGTCGAGGGGAGTGGACTGGCACCGCGTCGCGGAGGAGTACGCCGTCAAGTTCATGGAGTTTTTGATGGACGCTGTCGTTGTCGAGGCCAAGACAGAGGAGGTTCGACGCGTGGAGCTGGCCGAAATTGTCGTCGTCAGCCAAGGACATGTTCATGCTGCTGGCGCAAGCCTTGCAAACAGCTTGTTTCAGGTGTTCGCGTGGGCAGGTCTCTGCGCGGAAACGTTGGAGTGCGAGGAAGAGCGACGCGCTGCGTGCGTGCGCGGCGCGCGTGGAGCACTTACGCGACACAGGGTATCCGTGGCTGAATCTGGGCACGCGCGAAGGGGACATGCGGCGCGCGGTGCACGCGGAGGAGATGTAGAGGTTTGCCATGCGTCGGTGCGGCCGCACAGGGGCGGCGCTCTCGAAGGACGTTATAGTGCGCGTTTACGCCCGATTCGACGGCCAGATCGGCGCGGAGGCTGGGGTGGATATGCGGTGTACCCGAGCGGAACTGGAGGGCGAGTGCACCGTTCTGGGTCGGGCGCCGTTGGGTGAGCCGATGGTCGACAAGCGCTCGGTGGTGCTTCTCCAAGTGTACCATGCGACTGCGGCGGAGATCACGAGATCAAGCTGCCGCCTCTCTTCGTCCCATGGTCCAGATTTTGCCGCAAAGTGCACTTTTGATTGTTTTTGAAAGGGATGGCGAGGGGGGGGGTCGTCATGGTTCTGCGTTGACCCCCAGGTCAGATGGGGAAGGGGTTGTCTTTTCATAAGGAACAAGAAAAGGGAAGATGGACGAGGAATCGCCCTAAACCACCACAGCCCACGGTGCTGGTGGGATGAGTAATTTTAGCGTATTCGGGCTCCTATATGGTCTCTTGGAGCCCTCTTTGGCTGTATCGGGGGCATTTTGGGTCGTCTTGATGCTTACTTGGGCCGTCATCGGTTCATCTAAACACGTCTTTGAGTCATCGTGGGGCCATCCTGGGAGTTTTCTCAAGGCCATGTTTAGATGCCTTGGAGCCGTCCAGGTCTGTTGCGTTGCCGACGGTTTGAGCCGATGGCCGCTGGGAGTTTTTTGGGAGGGGCAACACAGTCAACCTGAACATTTGGCACGCCAAGCTCCCCTTTGCAAGCAGAAAAGAGGCGGCGGATCCCAGACGCCTGCGACGAATCATCGCCGCCCCCTGCCTTTGGAAACGCCCGTGCGGCCAAACGTTGGCCACGCTAATGGACTATGTGCTTCCCCCACCGTTTTGGAGCCCCTCCGGGGAGCACATGGGAGAGAAAGAGAAAGGAGGAGGAGAGGGGGGAGGAGGATTGGGAGGAGGATGACGAGGAGGGAGAGGAGGAAAAGGAGGAGGAAGAGGAGGAGGAGGAGGTGGAGGAGGAGGAGGTGGAGGAGGAGGAGAAGAATGACGAGGAGGAATAGCACTACTACGCATACAGGTAATAACAAGAGGAGGCCTCTTGAGACCCCCCGGAGCCTCGTTGGGATCCCTGGGGGGCTTCTTGGGGGCCTCTGAGGGGCTCTTTGGGGGCCTCTACGGGGTTTCGGGGGCCGTCTTGCGGCCCTCTCTGGGCAGTCGTGGGTCCCTCTTCGGGCGCTTCAGAGCTGTCTTGGAGGTCTGTGGGGCCGTCTTGGGGGCCGTCTTGGGGGCCGTCTTGCGGCCGTCTTGGGGCCCGCTTGGGCTGTCTTGCGGGCCTCGGGGGGCCTGTTGGGCCGTCCTGGGGCGACCTTTGGGGCGTATGGGGCCGTCTTGGAGCGACGGAGGCCCGAAAAGGCGAGGACGCTAAAGTCTTTGGACAACCTATGGAACATCAGTGATTTTGGCCTCCTGGAGGTCCTCTTGGAGGCCTCTTTGGGACCTCTCGGGCCGTCTTGGGCCATCTTGGGGCCACCTCAGGCCGTCTTGGGTGCATCTTGAGCTGTCTTTGAGACATCTTGGGGCCATCTTGGGCTCTATCGGAGCCATTTTGGCCGTCCTGGATGCCACCTTGGCCGTCTTGGAGGCCCTTTCGGGCCATCTTGGAGCCATCTGCAGCGGACACAACTCTTGCCTCCCACCGCTGGGAAAGCTTCCGTGTGGGCGGCGGGATCGGCCGAGACACCCCATGGGAACCTGGAAACAATAGCTAGGCCAACCAAAAGTTCAGCAGACCGTGCACCCCTGTGGCAAGCCGCACGGGGCGGCGGATCGAAGACGCCTACGGCGAATCACCGCTGCCCCCTGCCCTTGTGGAAGCGCCTATGTGTCCGACAGCTGGGCTAGAGCTTGGACAAGCTATCGGACCATGTGTTCCCCGAGTCGGTTTGGAAAGGTTTCGGGGAACGCGGGGGTAGGAAGGGGATGACGAGGAGAAGAAGGAACAAGGAGAAGGGAGAGGATGCCTCTTCGGAGCCTCTTGGACCATCTTGGGACCGTCTTGGAGGCCATGTTGGGGCTATCTTGGGCTCTCTTGGGGCCTCTTGAGGGCCTCTTGGGGCCCTTTTGGGGCTTCTCCGGGGCTTCTTTGGCCGTCTTATGGCGTTCCTGGCCCGTCTGACGCCGTCGGGAGCCGTCTTGGGGGCCCCTCTGAACCGACTTGGGGCCCTCTTGGGGCGCTTCGGGTCCGTCTTGGAGGTCATCTTGGGCGTCTTGGAGGCCTCGTGGGCCGTCTTGGGGCCCTCTTGGGGCCTTCTTGGGGGCTTCTTGGGCCGTCATGGGGCCACCTTGGAGGCCTCGTGAGCGATTTTGGGCCGATCTTGGGGGTCTCTTGGGCCGTCTTGAGGTCTTCGGAAGGCCAAAAAGAGGCAAATGCCCAAATCCTTCAAACACCTAAGGACAACCACTGATTTTGGCCTCTTCGGGCCCTCCTTGAGGACCTCTTGGAGGCGTC